GGGGGGGGGGGGGGGGGGCTGTGCCTACCTTCCAGGCACAGGGTTTTCGGCTGCTGTGTATTTTAAGGTATTATTTTAATTGTTTTTATTTTTTAAATTTCGTTCACTGCCCAGAGTCACCTGGTGAGATGGGCGGCTGTACAAATTAAATAAATAAATGAACAAACTTACATCCAATTAGAGATCCAAATTTAACTTCTGGGGGACCAATCTGGCCTGGACCACTAGCTGCCAACCCCTGATTTGGCGAGGTCAGCAGCCGATGGGCTGGTCCGCTCTGAGCCGGTGGGAGCCAAAACCCCGCTGGCTCTCGGGGTGGTTTATGGCGTGCCGCGTTGCTGAAGACCCGCTCTCTCCCTGCCCCACAGCCCTCTTCAACCTGATTCCGGTGGGGCTTCGGGTGGTCGCCATACAGAGCACCACGTCCGGGCAGTACGTCGCCATGAATGCCGAGGGCTATCTCTACAGCTCCGTGAGTAGCCCAACCCTCTCGCCGGCACGGGTGGTCCCTTTGGGCTGGTGGCTAACCAGGTCCCTGGGGCGGGGGTGCAAAAGCTGGCTGTGGCATTTCAGGGTGGGGGGGGGTGATTAGCAACTGTCCTCTATACGGAAGCCTTCTGTTTTGGGTCCCAAAGGCACCCTCCCCATCCCCTCGTGCAAAATGGCTGTGAATCCGTGTGAACGGAACACACCTGTCTGGGACGCTGCTTTGCCCTGCTCCCTGCCTCTTCTGCTCCCCCCACCCCTCAAACCTGCACTCTGGTGTCTGGAGATCTATGGTCTCTCCCCCCCGCTTTTTATTCCCCATCTGGAAACAGCCCAAAGCCGTGTAAAGGAAGAGGATTCACCTGTGGGACGAAGCAAGATCTCTCTTTTGGGCCGTCTGATTTCCAGCCCTGGGTCAGCCTTGCGAGGTAGTCCAGGCAGAAAGACGTCCCAATGAAGTAATTCTACTTTATTGTAAGGTTACAGTAATAGAGTCTTGCAAGACTGAAAGTTCGTCCCTCCCCTTCCCCTCGCCTTTTCAGCCCAAGAAAGTAGGGAGGGTCCCTTATGAGATGTTTCCCACGTCCCCATTCCTGCTGTGGGCTCAGCGGCCTCTGATCCAGCCATTGCCTAGTCTGTGGCTCTTCCTCCTGTCTCCCAAGGCCATTCCCACATACCATTGAACTCTAGAGCAGTGTTTCTCAACCTTGGCAACTTTAAGATGTGTGGACTTCAACTCCCAGAATTCCCCAGCCAGCAAGGGTTAGGGTTAGGGTTGAGAAACACTGCTCTAGAATCTAATCTAAAAGAGGAGCTGGGCATGGGCAGTGGGTTCCCCCCCCCCCATATAAACTGTCACCCTTGGTTGATGCCTCAAACTTTGGGGGGGGGGGAATCAGAGGTCACATTTAGGGTCAGGGGCCGAAGCTTAAAGGAACCCAAGAAAATAAGACTTTCCTTTTTTGTGGCACAACTTCCTAGCCCAGAAGACCCTCCATTTCCAGCTCTTCCCCCTCACCCGTATAATAAGGCTGGACAAAGGCTCCCTGACTCTCTGAGCCTCCTCCATTGCAAGGGAGAAGCACTCTTAACAAGCTCAGTTGCCCTTGGTTTCCGAGCAACACCCAACAGGTCCGAATGGAGGACCCCCACGGATTGGGGTGGGAGCCAGGCACTTCCCCACCCCCCGTTTCTCCAAGGCGGTGGGCAAACCTTTCACACCGCTGTTTCTTGTCTTTCCACCCGTTTGTGGGTCTGATTCCTCCTTCTACTCTTCATCTCCCCCCCCCCAAAGCAGCAGAGGGTGGGGAAGAAAAACAGGGCGAGTTTAGGCTGGGACTAATTTTGCTCTAATTTACGGCTTCTTGGCCTCCTTTCCTTTCTCAGTTCTGGGATGGCAAACCCCGGAGCCTCTGGTTCCTCCCTCCCCGGCTGGATTATCGGGGTGATCCCTTCAGGGGCTGCTGGGTTAGGCCGAGCTGGGCATCGCCATCTTGCGGCTGGTCCCTGCTATGACCACTATTTGGCACAAATCAGAGCGGGGGGAGGCTGGAATGGGAATTCTTTCTTTAAAGAGGGTAGAATGAAATTGGGACTTCACGAACACATCCATGGCGTTTAGCAGCAGTAGGGAAATGGTTTTGCCTTTGCTCCTCTGGTAAAGTTCTTTTCACCACCCAGTCTAGTCTACATTGGGGGGATCTCCTGGTGGTCTCTCATCCCAGTCCTAACCATCTCTGTCCATGCTTTGCTTTTTCTTTCTTTCCTTTGGAAATCCACCAGTGTTAGCTAGAGGCTGCCTCTGCAAAATCTCCTCCCCTCTCCCCACCGGGAGGAGACCAAGATAAGGAAGGGAGACAGTGAAGGACTGATGGATGAAGAACAAACGGAGTTTCATTAATTGATTTATTGCTTTCCAGCCGAAACCACCCCACCCACAGGCACACATTTCATTATACCCAGACCATCCTCACCCCAAGCAACAGTGGGGGGGGGGGGGGGAATGGTGGTATTTTAGTAGCCTGCACCTAGTTGTTTTTGGAGTGGAGAACCAACCACAGGTGGGGCCATTAATACAGAGCCAATGGGCTCACATTAAACATGCAGGTTTGGGAAGGAATTGTGGTTAGTTTCTTTTCCTCTCTCCCTTTTTAAAAAAAATCTCATTACTTAGTTTTAAAAATGCAGAGATACAGATGCTATAGAAGGACGGGAGA